CACCTATTGCTAGGGCTCCATATAGGATGGCACTAGTGGAGATGTGAGAGCTGAGGGATCAGATTCAGCAGCTACTTAGCCAGGTTTTATTCACCGGAGTACTTCACTCTGGGGAGCACCGGTATTATTTGTAAAGAAGAAGGATGGTTCACTCCGCCTGTGTATAGATTACTGGGAGTTGAATAAGGTTACGATTCGTAACAAGTATCCTTTGCCCAGGATTGATGACTTGTTTGATCAGTTGAAGGGAACTACCTATTTCTCTAAGATTGATTTGCGGTCTAGATATCAACTTTGGGTACGGGAGCAGGATGTTCTGAGGACAGCGTTTCTCACTCGATACAGATCTTATGAGTTTCGGGTGATGCCGTTCGGGTTGACTAATGCACCAGCGGTCTTCATGAATTTGATGAACAGGGTCTTCAAAGCCTATTTGGATCAATTTGTTATTGTTTTCATTGATGATATCTTGATCTATTCTAGGTCTGAGGGCGATTATGCTAGACATCTACGGATTATGTTGCAGACACTTCGAAAGCACCAGTTGTATGCCAAGTTCGAGAAATGTGAATTTTGGCAGCGGAAGGTAAAATTTCTAGGTCACGTGGTGTCAGAAAGGGGAATAGCAGTGGATCCAGCCAAGGTTTTAGCAGTGGTTGAGTGGGGATAGCCTACTTCACCTACCGAGATTCAGAGTTTCCTCGGTTTGGCAGGATATTACAGGAGGTTCATCCAGGGGTTCTCAAAGATAGCGGTACCACTCACTCATTTGACTAAGAAGGGTGTACGGTTCGTGTGGGATGAACATTGTCAGAAAGCTTTTGATGAGCTGAAGTCTCAGGATCATGGTTAGAGTGCGTATATCGCCTAGGATGGATAGCTGGACAGTAGTTGCTGTTCCCTGGTAGGTCTAGGTATACATGATCACGTAATGTGCGATTTGTATGGTATCTCTACTCAGGCTGAAACAGACCTATTGGACTAGCGAGCGTCCTATAGTGTGTAATATATACATATATGGACTACTTTAGATATTGTCAAGTCTATCTAAGATGTATCTGCGTATCGGATTCCTGTTTGGATTGTAGTAGATCAGGACTTGCATGTGGGCCTAACCCACTCTTTTATTATTTTCAGGTGCTCGTCAGTTCCGGGGTTAGAGCTTGGTCGTGCAGAGCAGATACAGACTTCTATTCCACTGATTACGTAGGACTGCTTACTTATTAGCTTTGGATCTTATTTCAGTTATTTCAGTTGGGAATTTTATTAGGGGTCCACAAGGTGGATTCCCGAGTTGTTAATTAATTTGAGGTTTTTGAGTTGGATTTATATTCTTGTTTTGAGGATTTTCATTATAATTCAATTCAGCTATTTTTATTTACTTCTTATTATTTCATCTTTTATTCTGTGTTCGTTAAAATATTAATTGTATGATATTTCCCTCGGGTCTGGGCCTGAGCTTGATCAACCCATGTCTCGGATCTGAGAGGTATCACATATACTGTGTTGAGGACTAATAATGGACATTGTATGATGCAATGAACACTATGTTATGGACATTTATTGAGTTATATATATATATATATATATATATATATATATATTGGTAAAGGTTGTTTGGTTAATTTCTTTTGATTGCACTACAAATGCTCAGGTGAAAGTTGTGCCTTCATAACCTGGGACTAGGGGTATGACTGTGCTTTTCATGAACTACTATTTGATGAATTAGTGTGTGTGCAAAAGGATTTGTGTTCAAGATGTTTCATTTAGAAAATAAGTCCTCTCACCAACCAATTCTGCAATATAGTATTTCTCAATTGAAAAGAGGTATTTTTTGCTTTCCAAAAAAAAAAAAAAAAGGTCTCTTTGCTTTTTTACTCTCATTCCAAATTCATAAATTAATTAACTAGAAGTCTGTTAATGAATTTTTGGAATAAATTTTTTATGTATTTCTATACTGTTTGGCATTGTTCTGCATATATAGGGCAGTGAATCTGTTAGTAGCTTCTTTATTAACTTCTACCAGAGGAAAGCAAAAGAAAGATGTTGACAAACCGGGTCATTCAAATTGGAGCTACATTTAATGATGAATGGTCTTACACTTTTCTTCTTCAGGAGATAGGTTTAGTTTGATCTTACTTAAGAGTAGAGTATGCCATCATTACTAGGTTTTGTTTTGTGAAGAGCAGAGAGTGAAAAGAAACACTTGTACTTTCAGATTTTATTTGTTTATGATGTAATTAAGCTTTAAAGCTTTTGTATTTGCATATATAATTAATTTTTATTATGGATAGTTTTCAAAATGTGTAGCCGATCTTCTAAAGTTCACTGAAATTATGGTATTTGGATTGTCACTGTAGTTTCTGTTATTCCTTGCTTTTGTGATGTGTTCGGTGATAAATTTTTATGATTAATTTTTTACTCTTTGTTGGGGATGGATATGAATCTTGGTTACAATGAGGTATTTAAGGTACAAAGAAGTGACATTATAACTCCATAGAAAGTGGTGCATAGCCTAATGTGATCTCTCTCTCTCTCTCTCACACACTAATCTCCAACAAGATTTGGACTGTTCATTATACCTTTTAGGGTTAAGTGCATTAAACTCCCTTGAACAATCTTCTCTCTCCCAATAAACACCCTGAACTATGGTTATGACACTTAACCCCCTAAACAATTTTGTTTGTTGCAAAAAAATCACTTTTTTTTTTTTTTTTTAATTGGTACTCACACATATGCCTCCACCAAGGTTCGAACTCCTAACATCTCTTTGAGAAGAAAGAGCTTGGTACCGCTAGGCCACTGATTTTCTGTTGATTCAGTGACGGTAAACAAATTGTGTAAGTCATGTGATCAACCCATCTTTTGAAAAAGACATTATTACCCTTGCCAAGCATAAGCTTATGAGTTATGCCCAAACACAGCCTTATGCCCATTTGTCACTGTTCATCTTCTTCCGCACACAACTCACCTTTGCCAAGCATAAACTTATGAGTTATGCCCAGCCTTACTTTCTCGTTCTCGTCTCTCTCTTTCCGATTTGATGACCAATCAATGTGGATTCTTATATCAGGGCCATGGATTCTACGATCACAACCCTGTCGTCGACAACTAGGTCTTAATTCATCGGTGGGTAGCTTCATCCGATACATCTGGTCTCCGCCGGATCGGAAGTCGACTCTCATGAAGCGGAGTAGCTAAATCTCTCTCACTGGCGTCCGAGCCCGATCTACAGTTGCTTACTCCAGGAAGCCACACAACTCACTCCACTTGTAAGTCTCACACACAACTACGCCCATTGAATCCGATTATCGACGTTATACTCACCATCACGGGAAAGGTAATCATCCTCATCCGTTATCATAACGCTCTTTCACGTGCAGCTACGCCCAATCAGCGTTGTCCTCACCATTGCTAAAATAATCTTCATCGGAGCTTTCTTCATCGTCGTTTGTCTCGCCCTTGAGGCCGCTTTCTTCAACATCGTTTTGAAGTCTTGAGGCCGCTTTTGGTATATGATTTGGGAATAGGGCCGATTATATGTTGTATATTAACAAACCTCTTCAGAAAAATTAACAAAACATAAAGAATTATATTGAACCTTTGTAATTATTCTTGTTAACTTTGAGTTAAGCTTTTTCCCATGTAAGGAAGACCAGCCGAGTTCCAACGCCGGTGAGTTTTAGGTTTGTGTCCATCTTTGCATCCCAACTAACACGATGTCGTCAAAGTAAGGGTTAAATGGTAATTTCATTTTCTGTTAACGTCTCCTTAAGGGTTTGTCACTAAATGCAACAAAGTAATAATTTAGGGGCTTTTACTTACTTCATGAAGTTTCTTGTAATGAAGTCATAGTTTAGGGGAGGTTTAATGCACTTAACCCTACCTTTTATATTGCTTGGTTTTGGAGGACACATGTTCGGTGTTTGCTTAAACTCTTAGATTTGAAAAACTTAAGCCCTGAACACGAATCAAAACATTCTAAGTTTCTAAAAAGTCACGGTGTACTTTGGACTGAAGGCTCAAGGGATTGAAAGTAAGTTGATACGAGTATATATCAGTAAAAAAAAAATTGGATATAATAAATGAGTTCAAAATTAAACTATTCAAAAAATGGGTTGCCATGATGGGGCTATGTGTCAAGTGCATATGACACATAAGTTCATTTGTCACAACAATTAGTTCACGTGTCATGTCACATGCACTGCACATGATCACTTTACAAACTACGTAAAATTTTAACTCCAACTACTAAAGTAGGGTAATTTATATTTTTTATAATTAAGAGTGTTTGTTGCTAAAAAAAAAAGAAAAAAAATGGAGGGTATTTTGTAAATTTTTGATAATACAAGAAGGTTGAGTGCAAATTGACCTCTACATATACATGCATATTAATCAAACAAATTGTTAACATCTGAAATATGTATTAACTATTACTTTCTCCGTCCTATAATAGATGTCTCTTACAGGGAGTAAAACTTTTTAAGAGGACAAGTAATTGTTGCATTGTACACCTTATAAAATTACAAAGATATCCTTTCAAGTTTAAATATATATATATAATCAAGTTTGAAATTTTTTAAAATTTTAAGAGTATTTTATGGAAAGAAGTAAAATATATGGTTTAAATGGACAAGTATTTTTGGGACAATTCAAAAAGAATAGATGGACAATTATTATGGGAGGAAAAAAGTAATTAAATATTGATTAAAAGAAGGTCAACCTAGCACACCTGAATTGAAAGCTATTTAAAAAGAAAGAAAAATCAATCATTAATGGTGTGAAGTGCACTCAAAAGATCTTTGTACTCAAACCATTACTAAGTCATCCAATTTTGTTATAATTTCAAGGGTTAAAAGAAGAAAAAAGAAAAAAGAAAAAAAAGAGAAAGGATATTATGGAATATGCCCCATTGAGGATTACATCATCATTTAGGCATATACCAGCCTTAGACCTCAAGTTCCTTATATTCCCTTTGTTCACCTCCACTTGTTTCAAATTTTTATAGTGACCCCCCTCCTCTCTTTTACCAATCTCCTGAAAATTATTCTCTCTCTCTCTCTACCGATGTCCACCTAACCCAACGTACTGAATTAAAGGAGAAACAGTCACAATGTCCACCTGTCCCAACTTACTAAATTAACGTTGGATCAAACTGAATAATGACCTTTTCTTTTCTATCTCGACGTGACAAGATTGATCATCGGATAGAAGATCGTTCAACAATTATTACAAGGTACTTTGTTCTTGCTCATGTAATTACTTTGTTGCTATGCTAGTTGTGTTAAAAATTATTACTTCATAGTCACCTTCAGATGAACAAGAGTTAAAAGTGTTGGGAATAGTAATATGGGAGAAACAGAAACACAGTTGGAAGATGCTTTTTCAGATAGCTTATCACCTAATATTATTAACTTTCACAGTAGGAAGTTGCTTTTCCCCATGGTTGCTTTCATTTGAAAGAATGTAGTTCCATAGGACCATACTCATCCACAAACTTGTTGGCATCTTATTCCACCTTATCCAATCCACTTGACAATTTTTTGTTGCCCTTTTTGACCTCATATTGAAGTACTCAACATCCATGGTGTGTGTTTCCATCTTTTTATACAGCTGTATAATAATATTTCAATTAATATCTGAAATTAGTATACAAATTCTAAGATTTGTGATCCATGATCCAAAGGGTTAGAAGACCTCAGTCCTATCCATTAGATAATGACTGACTTTGATAGTTACGGAGTGACACCAAGATCGAGTCTTAGTGCCGTGACCTCGTGGGTGGGTTGTGTGTGAGCGTGTGTGCAGGTGATATTAGTAGACTACCACCCTAGTGAATTATAGGTGCACAATTTCATATCGGAGAGGAAAGTGCTATATGTAGATTCAACACCTTTCTATGACATAACGCGTTTTAAAGTTGTGATGGCTGTGAACTTACTAGAACTTCGTAGTTAAGCGTGTTTAACTTGGAGTAGTACGAGGATTGGTAATCCCCTAAGAAGTCTCTGATTTGGGGGTTGACAATATTGTGTCTGGATAGGGTGAGAGTTATATCTAGACAAGCGAAACAATGATAATAAACTTTTCTATTATTAACCATTCTGGAGAGGAGAGATCATACCATCTGAATTAATATCCATTAAGTTTTTCAATTTGTTCAAACATTGAAATTTAAGTTTGCCCCACAACAACAGAATATTGGTTGCTCATTTTTTATAGTAAAAAAAAAAAAAAAAAATATCCTTACCCAATAAAAGTTTAGGCGTAGGATGGTAAGTAATAATAGTTCTGTTCTTGAAAATGAACCTTTATTCGCACAATAAATTCTAAATTCCCTCATAGAATTTCTACTACTCTCATACAGAACCTTTAAAAGGAAGCCCACACAAGAAAAGAAGCATAAGATATGTAATTTTCACTTTTTTTGTTTGTTTTGAATTTTGTTCTTCTCTTCTTTACGTAGCCATTAAAAGGTAAACAAAACAAGAAAAGTGAGAGATTAGTTCGTGCTTCTGCTTCTCATATATGGCAGAACCTGAATATCAGTCAAAATATGTCCACAGTGGTGACATCATGACAGTCTTGACAAAGGAGGGAGTTGAGTTCCTTCTATCTGGAGAAGACGAGGTATTCCTCTGATCCAAGCTCTTAATTAAGTATGTTAAAACTCAATCCTCTGTTTGGTTGTTGTGGTATACTTTTATGGATAAACCTCTAATTGAGTTTTCATTTTTTCTCTGCTGTGTTTCTATATCTCATTTTATTTGAATTTTTAAAATTGGATTTGTTTGGGAAGATGGCAAAATCATATATATCTACTATTATCTAGGCAACCAAACAAAACACTTAACAGGGCCATATTAAAAAATAGGGTTCAATCATAGTGTCTATAAAAATTTGATGTCACTGTTTTTGTTTTTTAATTGGATTTGTTTGGGAAGATGGTAAAAACATGTATCTATCTACTATATATATCTAGGCAACCAAACAGAACACTTAACAGGGCCACATGGTCTCATTGATATATGAATCCATGTTTTTGGCTACGGAAACTAAACTAGAAAGCTATTTCTTTGGACTTGAGATTAGGTACCCTTACCTTCCAGTGATGGGAAGACAATTTGCCTACTCTTTTCAGCCAACTGGTGCAGGCCTTGCAAAAATTTTACCCCACAACTGGTGCAACTATACAACAAGCTAAGAAAATCTGGTAAAAACATAGAGATTATCTTCATTTCCTTTGACCGGGACGAGACTGGATTCAGAGAGCACTTCAAGTGCATGCCATGGCTTGCAGTTCCTTTTGATGTCAATTTGCACAAGCGATTGAGCACCTTCTACCACGTCGATCACATCCCATCATTCATACCATTGGGCTTGGACGAGAAATCAATTGAAGAGGACGCGATTGGTTTGATAGAAAATTATGGTGCTGATGCATTTCCCTTCACTAGGAAGAGAAAAGAGGAGTTGAAGGCTATGGATGATGTGAAGCGTCAAGGAGGAAAGATAGAAGAACTTCTTGGACACGAAGGACGAAACTACCTCATTTCTGGAAGTGGTAGAGAGGTTGTAGTTTAGTTTAATGTTGGTACTAATTTCTTGTCATTCTTTGTAGGAAATTTAGAGTGTAATTTTGAAATGATTGGTTTTATGCAGACATGGGTATCTGAACTCATTGGCAAGACAATAGGCCTCTACTTTGGTGCACAATGGTGCCCTCCTTGCCACGCTTTCACTGCACAACTCATGGAAGCTTACAAGGAGCTCCTCACCGCGACAAATCAATGCTTTGAAGTAGTGTTTGTCTCAACAGATAGAAACAAGGAAGAATATGATCTCAACATGAGGGACATGCCATGGTTAGCTATCCCATTTGAGGACAAGGCACAACGAGACCTTTGTAGGATCTTTGACATCAAACAAATTCCGGCTTTAGTCCTCCTTGGGCCGGATGGGAAGACTGTCAACACAAACGGAAGGGGCATCATCGCCATGTACGGTGCCAAGGCATTTCCATTCACGGAGTTGAGGACTGCAGAGATAGAAGCAACCCTGAGGAAGGAAGGAGATGGACTGCCTCACCAAGTAAAGGATCCGAAGCACGAGCATGTTCTTAAGTTGGACATGGCTAAAGCATATGTGTGTGACTATTGTAACAAGAATGGGAAGTTTTGGGCATTTTCTTGTGATGTTTGTGATTATGATCTTCATCCAAGTTGTGTTGAAGAAACATTTTAAGCACATTATTGAAGGGTTTGGGATTGTAAATAATTAGTTGCCAATTGGATCAATTTCAAGGAAATTGGGTCTTGGTTATGAAGAAGAACAACATATGACATTTTTGCAGTGTTTGTCACTATTTTGATGGCACATTATAATCATCTCATCTCACATGATGATAGAAATGCAACCTTTTTCTTTCTTCTCTACGCAAGAGAATTGCAAACATGGCAAGGCGGGTCAAGTGTCTTACCAATGCAACCTTTTGGATCATGCGAGTTTGGTTTGACCAATATATCCGATCCGCTTTAAAGAATGATTGAAGGGTTTGACGGGTTTGATTTATCCGTCGCACACCCAACCAGGGGTGGACACAGGGGTAGGCAAAGGCGGGCTATAGGCCACCCGTTAAAAAAAAAAAAAAAAAAATTTACTATACTAATATATTAGCCCAGCTCCAAAAAAAAAAAAAAAAAAATTTAATAGTATTAGCCTATCCCAAAAACTCAATGAAGCCCAAGTAAATTTAACACCATACTAAAATAAAGGCCCAAACCAATTCCTTAGTATTCATATTTCATATTAGCCCACCCCACCGAGAAATCCTGGATCCACCCTTGCACCCAAACCGCATATAATTGGTTTAATGCGGGTCAATATGGGTTTGTGATCCACTTTGGACTTGCCCATTTATGACCCGCTGGAATTCGCCCATTTGACAAGCTTAGAAATGGTACCCTACTATAGCAGTACAACATGGTTGGCCCTAACCTGAATAACCCGAGAGTGTAGACAAGGTATTTGATACAATGTGTATTATTGAGTATAAATCTTAGAGTCCGAATTTATTTCCCATAAAATTTGCGCAAAAATTTTAATAACCGAGGAACACATAATACAAGAAAAGTAACGCACACATATATATTTTATACTTTTAAGGGCAAATGTTACTTATATAAAATAAATTAAGATTGAATGATTTATTCTTTAGTGGCACAATATTATTGATAGTTATTAACCTAACTTGTGATATATTTTTTTAAAGTTTGAAATAAAATTATAATACTGATTTCAAAAGTTTGAAATAAAATTATAATACTGATATTAGTTAAACTTATATACAAGATGATACGAATATTAGCTTTAGTCCTTCTAAAATTCTAATATGAAGAAACATTATTAAATCCAACAACTAACTTATGTGATTCTATATTATGTTAAATATATACAGTTTCAATATTTAATACATTTTATTTATTAGAAGCTTATTGATATTTTAAACCCCCGAAAAACTCGTATGATATTAACGCAAATTGAGATGCAATGGCATATTGTTATAGATTGGTGAAGTCCTAGATTTTCTCAAGTGTGGCAGTTATATCAACCACCTAACTTTGAGTATTCATACATTTTTACTCGAACAATATATTTCTAATACTACGTAGTCTTAGTCTAATCAAATGAGTAACCAGTCCTGTTAATGAATTAAATTCTGATATAAATTCGATTACGTCCATATGAATTGAAAAAAATATTTCATAATTTGATAATGATTCGAATCTGATAAACCGTTACCTTAACAAATACAATTCGATCCAATAATGATTCGATTAAAATTTTATATACATATACATATATTTTATTTATCACTATATTAATTTGATTGCATAGTTATATTATGCACCATCTATGTGTCAGTGAATAGTGAATATGATTTTAATCCGAATCCGAATTAAATAAGAAATGAATTGAAACATTCAATCCAACAACTACAATATTCATTTGATTGCATAATTATATTATGCACCATCTACATGTCAATGAATAGTGAATATGATTTTAATTCAAATCCGAACTCAAACTAAATAAGAAATGAATTGAAACATTTAATCCGATAAATCGTCAATAATTCAAATTCTATTATCCGTTAACTTAACAAGTCGGATGTAGATTTCATCCATCGATCGAATCCGACCTGTTGACAAACCTATGTGTAACACTGTGAACAAGGTGAGTACACTTTTTTTCCATCAGAAGTCAAGCACTTGGTCAATAATGACATTGGAGCTAATTGTCAACAGACTTGGCACCTGAAGACTTTCCTAATAAAGAAGTCAGAGATAAGCCAACAAACTACCCGCCAATTATGGGTCTCCCTTAACATTTTAGAGAGAGAGAAGCAGAGAGAGGGGACTCAATTTTGAATGAATCAAAGAAGCAAATTCGGATAATGAGATAAACAAATGCAGGTCTTCTTAGATATTGTAAGAAGGCTTTGGTTATTCTAGTCTCTCTCTCTCTGTCTCTTGGGAGAGGAGGGACAAAGAAGAGTTGGAGAGAGAGAGAGAGAGAGAGAGAGAGAGAGAGAGATTAATTGCGGAGAAATGAATAGGTTGGTAGCAGTGGCAATAGACAAAGACAAAGGAAGCCAATCTGCTCTGAAATGGGCTGTTGATAATATCCTCACCAAGGGCCAAACTGTAGTCTTGATCCATGTCAATGTTAAATCATCCTCGTCGTCCGACAAACCGGTGCCATATTATTCTAACAGTAAATCTCTCTCCCTCTCCCTCTCACACACACACACACAATTCAACAATGTCTCAATCTATACGGCCTTCTCATAGAATTTGGAGAACAACTCTAATGCAAAAAGTGGTTGCAGTGTCAAATTTTGCAGCCACAGGAACAAGATGTATATGTGCAGTTATTCTTGTTTTTTCCTTCACCATGGAGTGGAAGCCAAAATAGCATGAAACTAAACTACCCAAAACTTTTCTGACACAAAGTAAGATTTATATGTAAAGGTGGTGTAAAACTAGATGAATCTAAGCTTCTACATAAAGAAAAAAAAAACTTGTACATAACTTTCTGCTAGAAAGAAAAAAGAAAATCAAGAATAATGATGATCTCATTCGTCCAAATCCTAGATGTTGAGAAAATTTACATTAAAATGTGAACCTCCGTTTTCTAGCTAGTTAACCCAAGGACCCTCTTAATTTCCTAATAAGCTTGTGCATAATACTGACAGTAAACTTAGAATTCCCAAAATCTGATTTTTATGCCTGAGGAACTCAACAACCATGTGACACCCCAACCCCCGCACAAACAACAAACACACACACAGAAAAACCATGTTCCGAAAACATATCACTAGGTGATACATGAAACTTAAATAATCAAGAAATCGTTGTTTTTACGTTGCTTTTAACTAATATAACTCACTGCACTGGAGGATTAGGGATCTCAATTGACTAGGCTTTTTAAAAGTATCCAAAGCTTCATGTGTACACTACAAAATTTTAAAGAACAATAAAGAAATAAATAACCTTAATTAGAATGCAAGAAGAAGTGAGAGAAAATTTAATTCTCTTTAGAAAAATTTGTATATATATATATTTGAAGTAAGAATGTTTGACAAGACACACCCGTCAAACAAGCCAAGCAGTAGCCTCTTCCCCAAATGTGATCAGCATGTAACTATTCCATGCCCAATAATGTTTCAGAATAGAATTGCCTTTGCCCACAACAAGCGGTATTAGCCATGTCCAGCAGATTAATTCATCTCAGTTTTTGCTGCAATTGGATTGATTAGGTGGTTAAATGTAAAATCCAGTAGGTGAATACAACTGAATCCATTGGATATTTAAATGGTATGACATGCAAAGAGTAAATACCACCACATTGACGAGGTCTTCCAGAAAATGTAGACATGCAAGGAAAAAATCAATCCGTTCAAATGTAACCCCTTCCGAGAACTTCAGGAAGACCCAAGTGTGGCCGTTTTCCTCTCATTCAATAACTCATAGATAGGCCTCAAGGCACCTTTTTTCCTTAGATGATCAGCAGCAACAAATGTGTACTTATGCATTACTTAGTAATCATGTCTCAGCTAAAACACAACCATTCGTGATTTCACACTCACTGCACAATCTATGAATTCTAAAGAAGCAGCTAAACCAATTAGAGATGGACTATTTTGATCATACAATAAGAGTAAATGACTGCTTTAAATTTAGAATATTGAACACAAATATATACATATCCAAAAAGGTAGTTCGTCCAATATTTATATAATAGGCAGAATTCCTTCAAATGAAGCCTGCTTTCCAGACCTTAATAAGCCATATATTCATTCTGATTGCGAATTACTCTTTTCCTTGTAGAACATTTACCTGAATTTTTTCCATTTTCTAGGTATGCATCTTCCCGCCCATTTTCTAGGTACGCATCTTCCAGCCAATATTCCATCATCTAATATTTTTAATTATTCTCCTACTTTTTGTTTGTCCCCTGTCTAGTACTCGATATAGCAGTAATTCCCTTCAACTTGCATTAATTTTCTTTCAAGCATCACCATTAGTCATCTTGATATAGACACTATTTATAATTTTTTTCTCTACTGCACCGGGCTGAAAATTTTTAGCATGTAAAGACGTTAATCGATTTTATAATCTACTAGATTTCACTCCGATAAATTTTCAACACAAGTTCTACAATGAATCTGCAGCATTAGTCCCTCACCCTTTTTCTTGAACCTGGCTGACATTTGCACATTTCGTATCATGTGATAAAAAAGAATCACCTCAATCTATTTCCTGGGTGCAGGGTTGAACCAGAATTCTGATCTCAGTAATCAAAATGGATCAGTATGCAAAGATTCTGATACACTAAATAAGGAACTCTTCCTCCCCTTCCGTTGTTTCTGCACCCGTAAAGATGTGAGTTTCCAAGTTCTTATTATTCCATCATAATTACAAGGGAAAGGTAATATTACTAGGACCTAGCAGAATTTGCCTCAGAAAAAAAAGAGCAATAATTAATATATAAATAATAATAATAATAATCAAAAAAGCTTGTAGTCAATCTGGCTACATAATATAAAGATATACTGAGGCACTAGAACACTAGCAGTCATATCTTCACGTAAGTCATCAACTTAATTTTCTCTGTATTCTAACTTCTACTCTCTGTGTCACCCAATTATGCCAACAGATAGAATGCCAAAGCATCGTACTAGAAGATACAGATGTAGCCAAAGCATTAATTGAATTTGCTACTCGATCATCAATAGAAGTTATGGTTCTTGGTGCTTCCTCAAGGAATGGTCTCTTCAGGTATGCACCTCCCTTGCAGTGTCTTCTTGAACAAGCAAATTGACTTGGGATATTGATTTACTATAAATTCCACACTTAGGGATAGTAATGGTAATGGACAACTACCCAATATTTTGATGAAGCCATCCTGGTTAGTATAATTTAGGTTCTAGACTTCAGAACAAGTCTTCCGTTATATCTTAAATTGAATTTGCCTAGAGCTAATGAAGCTGCAGGAGTTTTCTTGTATAACTAGTTTAGAATTATCCTTATGAAAAATCTAAGGCTAGGTCTATCTCGAGCCCTCCCCAGGATCCTGCTGCAGCGGGACTAAAACTAGGTAATGCCCTTTTTAATTCCTTCACTATTTTACAATTACGAAACATTCTGTTATTTTTCTAAGGATGCTATATAATCTTGGCTTTTGATGTTTATCTATATATAATAGCAATACCCTGAAGGCAAAATAATGTAGCACAGTTAATAAGCAGGCTTTGTTTGTAATATTAAAAAAATATCAGACCCCATTTTAGACATCTAAAGAAAGTCTATCATAAAAGTCAAAACATTTGAACTTGAGAAACTTATTTTGGATTTCAAAGTTAGAGTCAAAATCTTTTTTCCTCGCATTTGCATTGTATCATGATCCCATTTTGTTTTCTGTTACATTTTGGGCGCAAATTCATCCTCCAGAATCAATTCAATATAATATAATATAGAATTACTGATGCAATGGGGGAAGAGAGCGGTGGTATATAACATAAATATATGAAATTCCTTTGTAAATATAAATTAAGATTGAACATATAAATAGCATGACTAGAAAACTTTAAACAAAATGATACTGTGAACATTTCTTGCTGAATATAGTACCGAAAAAGAAAAAGAAAAAAGAAAAAATTCATGCTAGATCCACGCTTCTTTTATCAACAAGCAACCTAAGTTTTATTGAGAAATATCAACATATCTTGCTAGCATGCTATATGGATTCATGTATCTATCTACAAAAGAATGCAAAAAGAGATGGCAAAATTCAGAGTTCAGTAATGTTATTTGACAGGAGATTTAAAGTGACAGATATTCCAGGCAGTGTATTAAAAGGGGTGCCAGATTTTTGTACCGTATATGTCATCTCCAAAGGAAAGATTGCATCTACTCGATCTGCCTCCCGCCTCGCCCCAGCTACCCGTAACCAATTTCTGTATCCAGACAGCAACAGAACAGACATGTCTGAGGCATCAGTATCACCCACGATTCGTTCGAAAGGTTAGCTTTTCTCCTTCAGTGTGATAACTTTTTCTAATTCATATTGCCCCCACCAATGCCCATTTTGAAACGACTACGATTGATCATCTAATCAGGAACACCAAGACCTCAACATGAGCAATCGCTGCATAAGATGCACCATGACATGGAAGGTAGTATCAAGTAAGTCGAAACTACATCTAACCAGCCAAAGCCAAAGATGTATTAACCATGTTCAAACTATAGCAAGGGTTTAAATTTTATAAGGATCAACAAGAGAAATTTAGAACAAAAATAAATTTGGCTTGCTATGACATGATATACTATCGCAATGCCGAAAAGAATGAATAAAAACTCATTGCCACAAACAGGTCACCATTCACTCACAGGAGAAACCAAAGTGGCAAACCATATGGGGAACTCCCGCCACCAGATACAGATATATCCTTTGTCAGCTCTGGCAGGCCAAGTGTTGATCGGATGTTTCCTTCCTTCTATGACACCTTCGAAATGGACCACACACCAAAGTCAATCTTCTCAGACACAGAAAACCATAGCTTCGAGTCGCTGCAGATTGGACGCAGATCAATGGATATTGCCTCGCCACCTGAATTGTCAATATCCTCGCATGACAATGATATATCATCTTCATCACAGACAATGGTAAGATTAAAGACATTTAAAATCGACAAATTTTCTCATGGCATCAATATCATGTATGCATGTGTTCATACATTAAAAGAGTGCAAATCCATTGATGCTCCACCTAGTGGAGTGTTCGGCATGAGAAATTTGGAGGCAGACCTTACCTTTGATATAATTTTGCACAAAGTGGCTGCTATGATACTAGAACCCATGACCTCCAGGGTCATAGTATACATAATACATCCATCCATTCAGAGATGCAAGTTTATATGTAAACTACAATTTGGCATTACAGACAATTATGTATTGAACTTGCAGGAAGACGTGGAAGCAGAAATGAGAAGACTGAAGATGGAACTCAAGCGAACAATGGACATGTACAGTACAGCCTGCAAAGAAGCACTATCAGCAAAACAAAAGGCATGAGAAATTGCATATCCTCTGCACCTTCATGATTCTGCAACAAGCTATAATTAAATCATCTGCTGCATTGCAGGCAAAGGAGCTCCAGCGCTGGAAAATGGAAGAAGAGCAGAGATTAGAAGAGGCAAGACTAGCTCAGGGAGCTGCACTGGCAATCGCAGAGAAGGAAAGAGCTAAATCCAAAGCAGCAATTGAGCATGCTGAAGCATCTCAGAGGATTGCGGAACTGGAAGCACAAAAGAGAATTAATGCTGAAATGAAAGCACTAAAAGAAGCAGAAGAGAAAAATAAGGTGCTAAATTCTCTAGCAAAATCGGACGTCAGATACAGGAAGTATGCAATTGAGGAGATCGAAGCTGCAACAAATTTCTTCTCAGAATCTCGTAAGATTGGGGAAGGGGGTTATGGGCCAGTATACAAGTGTTATCTGGACCACACACCCGTTGCAGTTAAGGTTCTCCGACCAGATGCAGCTCAAGGAAGATCACAGTTTAATCAAGAGGTATGTGACCAAATAGAATTTTGTGTCCACAATTAATATCTAGGTTTCAAATATTCATCGAGTACTTGGTCTAATTATCAATCATGATTTGGCTTTTCTCCATGAAAAATTGAGCTAAAAAAGATAATATGATTCAAGAATTAAAATGACCAATGCCTATTAAACAACTGCACTGCTAAAAAATTATCAAGCGCTAATTTTTATTTTTATTTTGAATATTGATTGCAAAGAACTCCTTTCAACCACTCAAATTATAATTTTAATGACACAATGCCTAGACATCAATATATAAAGTACTATATCTGAATCCAACCAGATTTTAATTTATGCTGAAGCCTGAATAAGGCAGTAATTTTTAGGTACCAGTGCAATTAACAAGTCATAATACATAGCAGGTATCAATTGAAATCTAACCCATAATGAATGTAAAAATGAAAATGCTGACTAGCTACCATGATATCATCACAGGTTGAAGTACTGAGCTGCATACGGCATCCTAACATGGTTCTCCTACTTGGAGCCTGCCCAGAGTATGGATGCTTAGTCTATGAGTATATGTCCAAAGGGAGCTTAGAAGACCGTCTCCTCCGGCGAGGAAGCACCCCGCCCATCTCTTGGCAGCATAGGTTCCGAATTGCGGCTGAAATTGGGACTGGCTTACTTTTCCTCCACCAGACCAAACCGGAGCCACTTGTGCATCGTGACCTAAAACCAGCCAATATCTTGCTCGACAATAACTACGTAAGCAAGATTAGTGATGTTGGATTGGCAAGGCTCGTCCCTCCATCTGTAGCAGATACTGTTACTCAGTATCGAATGACATCAACAGCTGGAACTTTCTGCTATATAGATCCAGAATATCAACAAACGGGCATGCTTGGTGTAAAATCTGACATATATTCCCTCGGCATCATGTTTCTACAGATAATAACAGCCAGACCACCAATGGGTTTAACTCACCACGTTGGACGGGCTATCGAGAAGGGGACTTTTGTTGAGATGCTGGATCCAGTGGTGCCTGATTGGCCAGTTGAAGAGGCATTGAGCTTCGCAAAGCTGGCACTCAAGTGTGCAGAGTTAAGACGGAAAGACAGACCAGATCTGGGCAAGGTCATCATGCCAGAACTTGAAAGATTAAGAGCAATTGCTGATGAGAACATGCCTTACAACACAATATTTGGTATTAGCAGTGCAACCCCCTCACCCAACCACAGCCAAGTTTCCATGTCTCAAGTAAGAGGAGAAAACAAACTCAAATTAACCTCTGAATTAATATATATACTGCAAGAGAACCATATATATTTGGAAGTGAATTAACCCACTATGATAGAGTACCATTTGGAAAAGAAAAAAAAAAGAAAAAGAAAAAGAAAAAGAAAGCAATAACTTTATTTCAATTTCTATGTTAAACACAATGGAGCAATTGCACATGATAAGCACAACCTCTAAAGATACAATATCAATACATGAAAGACATTTTACTATAGTATCTTCATCCTCAGAATCCTGCATGCCATTCAGACTATCATGCAAGGCCTAACAAACTTCTCTATGATTATTTTGAAGGAACAATTGAGTTACCCGACACCTATAAACAGCTCCAGAAGCCGTTCGAGCACAGGAGACTGACAGGTCAGGAAGCAAGCATCAATCAAGAAATACTTTGTCCTAAACCTATTAACAGCAAAACAACTTTTCTTTTCTTTTTTCTATAAAAAAAAAAAAGGTAAAACTTAACAGCAAAGAGGAGCTCATGACCCCTTTTCTTTTTGTTTATGCAAGCTTTTTTCAATTTCAGCCTGTACAGACAATCAAGGTGAGGTGAAAAAGATCATCAGTATACATCTTTTTACTTTTTATTTTTCCTTTCATTATGTATTCAGTTAGCAGTCCTCTTTGAACTACAACTTCTTCCTTCAGCCTGACATAAGACAAGCATGCTGAAGGAGGTGGTAACAAAGAAAGATATATATATATATACATGTACAGTTTCCTGCATATATTGAAATTTTCATATTTGGAAACCAAACAGGAAGCAAAATCTATCAAAGTTGTGGAGCCTCTGGTTGCTTGAGTATTTATTATTGTACTATGTGGAAGAAAGAAAATAATTTTATTTGGTTAGGTTTCAAAAGTTCCAGGGAACTTTTAGAGAAGTTCTATTGTATGGTGTGGGGAGAATAAAAATTACCCAAAATAATTGTACCGATCAAAATTGCCGATGAAGCCTGAATATTGATGCTACCACTTTTTCAGTGCCCATGAGAGCTTGAAAAGCAAAGACATCTATCATTTAGAATTTTTACCAAAAAGAAAGTTGTATATTTTTAAAGAGGGTGAGACTGACACAACGATAAGATTGCTCTATTGCGACTTGGACGTTGCGGGTTCAAAATGGGAAACAACCTCTCAGCATGCAGCATTAAGGCTGCTACATCTAACCCGCTCCAGATGCTGCAATGGCAGGAACTACCCTTTTGTATATTTTTAACATCCCTTATACAGACATTTGTGAATGGTTACTTTTCCACTGCCGGAAACAATTCTATACACATACACTCACAAATTGTGGTAATTAAGGACTCAACTTTTGTCTATTAGATGGCGGTAGTCACATAGAACATGATCTCTTGTTACTTAAGAAAGGCTTTTGACTCAGTTTCATGGCCTTTTCTTGTTGATTCCCTCCACCTTCTTCTTTTTTCTAGTTTCTTCCACCTTCTTGGATTACCATCTATTTTCATTAATTGGGTAAAATATGCATCTAATTACATCATTTACCATCTCAATCAATGAGGAGTTCTATGGGTTTTTCAATTGAGTCAAAGGTCTTAAACAAGGAGATCCATTGTCTCCATTCCTCTTTGTCATTGTTATGCAAGTCTTTTCCACCATTTTGAATAAAAACATCCTTGATAACCCATCACTCAAATTTCATTGGAGGTGTAAGAAACTTTCCCTCTCTCACCTCATATTTGCAGATGATCTCTTGTTACTCTCTCATGCAAACCTCAGTTCAGTTAAAATCATCAAAAATGCACTAGACCAATTCTGCTCTATCTCTGGTTTAAGCATATATCAATCCAAAAGCCACACCTTTTTCTCAAGAGTTTCCCTCAACCATAAAGCTAGTATACTTTCTATTCTGGAATTTTGCAAAAGGAACTCTTCAGATAAGTCATTTGGGAGTCCCCTAGTCTTAGACCAGTTTAAAAGCCATTGTAAGGAACAAATCAATAAAATCTTAAGCAGAATTAGTCATTGGACTAAAAGATCCCTATCATTTGCATGGAAATTGCAGTTAATCAAATTAGTCCATTACAGTATACAAATGTTTGGGCATCAACCTTCATCTACCTAGAGATATCCTAGCTAAGCTCAATTGCATCTTTAGGAAATTTTTGTACTAAAGTCTCTTGGACTATAGCATGCTCTCCTGAATCAGCTTGGGGTCTTGGCATTCCTCAAATACCAATTTTTACTTGTAATTTGTTGGGCCCGTACAGTTTCATACATTTATATACTTATAATTTACCTTTTGGAAAAAAAAAAAAAAAAAAAAAGAAGAAGATATCCTTTTAATATTTTTGAGAAATACAAACTCAAGTCTTAAAAACTCTCCATCTCTCTACTCAATGCTATCATACCCTAAAGTAATTTCCAATTCCCTGCTCATCCAAGGTCTTTGTGAGGGCTTCACTGTGTCTATCATAACTTCATGACCATCAAAGTCAATCACAAATCAATTCATTGAATCCACCTGCAACTAAAATTATCAAAATGACTTCAGATGAAGCCAAGGCTCTGATAATTTCATGAACTCGCAACACGAATTTTTGGGAAGAGATTTTCTATAATATAGTAAAATGCAATTACAATATGTAAAGGAACACATTACTTATAATTGAAACCCGTACCTGATTCATGAAACAATTCTTTTCCTTGCTCACTCCCAAGCAATTTTCCTTACCTTGCTTCCAAAGTTTTAACCATCGCTGCCCACAAATTTACAGGCCCCGTGAAGCCCTCACAAAGACCTTTAATATAAACTATTAACTGATCAAAGATTGAATATCTCACTTCACCTTCTTTTTTTTTCTTTTCTTTTCTTTTCTTTTTTGCAATTAAAAGAAATGACAAGGAGGTATTTAAACACATTAATGTGTATCTATTATTTTATAATGCCATGACCACCACCCAATATATTGTAAACTTTCAATTTGATTTCACCTTCTTTACTTCCTCTATCAACTTTATTTATTTATTTATTATTTATTATTTTTTTTTATTGGGCAAAAGAGATAATTATTATTGTGAAAATTCTATTTTGTTATTTTTATTTAAATATAAGAAGTTAATGTAAACTTTGGTTACTTCAACAAAATCATGTTCTAGTGTAATTTGTTTTGAAAAAATTGGTGGGGTGCAATTGAATTTTTTTTAATGATTTTTAGGAATAATATTTATAAATTAATTAATATTTAGGAAATATTAATAATAATAATAATTAAAAAAATTTTGGGAGGGCATGACCACCCCTGCTGACCCCTAGCTCCGTCCCCGAGGAAGAGAATGATATGGGAGATGGCGTTAACGCAAAGGGAACGTTTTGGTGTTTGTTTTATATAATAATGACGTGGTATATTTTTGAGCGTTGGATGTTGTACCGGAAGATACTGGGAGAGAGTTTTTAACTGACGGGAGCTGCATCATAATTATAGTTTTGTGAATCTAATAAGGCTATGTTTATATTTTCAAATATAAAGGGCAAATCCGTCATCAAATTAATGTTGGGGTTCTTTGTTATCATGTGTGGAACTTGAGGGCGTTCAGTGTAATAAAAGCCAAACTTAACCACCGAGTTTAATAATTCAAACCTCAGGAATTCACCCAACAAACAGGTTTAAACGGAATACAATAAGTTTTATTACAAATAATACAACTTTAATAATAAGTTAATTATTTTTAAAAAAATGATAATTACAAATATTTATATTCATATTTTTATGATAAATTGATACTAATAATAAAATTAAGATAAATAATATAATTAATATTTATATAATAAAAAAATAATAAAAATAATTTAATAAAAAATAACCTAATGAATTTATCTTTAATAGTAATAAATTAATAGTCCTCTGTTTTAGTTCAGAGTAAAAAATGACTTAATGAAAATAGATAAAATAGTCAATGAATTTATCTTTAATTGTAATAAATTAATAATCTCGTTTTTATTTCAGAGTTATTTGCAATGGCTTTTTTTAAAAAAAAGAAAAAAAAAATTATTTTACACTTTACCCTATAATTTACAATGAGAATAGAAATAATTCCAAAATTTCTAGTTTGTTGTGCGTCCAAAGCCCCACCGTTATAGCTAGAGGGAGAGAGAGCGACGAAGAGTGGTGACCATACGTTGAATACTATGCCAGTTACGGCGGAGATGAGGGCGGTTCTTGGTTCTCCACAAGAAGACACAAATAGTTGGAATCTTCATCACCCTTTTCCTCCAACAACACTAAATCCCACTTTTATAATTTATCCCACAAACTGTTTGTAGAAATTCTCCAAAGACTCCCTCTCAAACTTCATCTCTACAAGTGCGTTTCAAAACGCTGGTATGGTCTGATCTCAACTCCTCACTTTGTCCGATGCTATGTCCGCAATTGTTCTTCTTTAGTGCCTCCTTTTGCCCTCTTCCACCAGTTCCAACATCCACATTGTGAAGTCTTTTTGAATCTCGTGAGTTTTCTCTGGACTCTTTCTTCCCTCTTCGAACCCGTCAACATCATCATCAAATCCAATTCGTTACTTAGAATCAAACAATGGCTTAGTATTATGCTCTACAACCTCGCTTTTTTACAGGGTTTACTATGTTTGCAACGGCCGGTTGAGCTTCCTCCACCACCCACTTGCCAAGAATGGTTTGAATCCATTCATTTGAACCACCACAACATCCACCACCACCATGAAGTTTGGCCAATCTCAAATTGGAGATAGACGCATGGAAATGGACCGAAACAATCATATCAACCCAAGGACATAAATTTATTTTGTCACACAGATATTTTAATTCTATGGTTTCCAATGGAAAACTCCATTGGATGTACATTTATCATGATAAGCTTTTTGCCTATGATCCATTCAAGGACATTGGTCGAATTCGTACTATAAGCCAGCCAAAGGACATATATCCCAAAGCCTGTCAACATCTCTTAGGAGAGTGCCAAGGACAGCTCAGGTTCATTCAACATCATATTTACACTCGCACATATAATAATTGTATTTTCGAGGACCTTTTACCTTTTGAAAACACAAATTGCATAAACATGCTTCGTCATCCCTTGTGTGTGGGTGTGTGTGTGTGTCTCTCTCTCCGTCTTTGTGTTGAGTTTTAAGATCAATTTTTTACTAGTATTCTGTAGCAGCCTGTGTAAAATCATTACAAGATTCATGCAATATTGTAAGTGCAAAATTTCGCTCAACCAATAATGACTGAGAAAAATAAAACAACTCACTCAAAAACAATAAAAATAAATAAGAACAATGTGTAGAGAAGTGTGGAATTGCTTGATCCTTTATTGGAGGTCTTAGCCTCTATTTATATACAAAAGATTGCAAAATTATGGTAGGACTCGCGTTGCTTGCCCTCCAATTCTTTCTATATAACCATTCTTTTCTAATAGAGTTCTTTCCATTGTTGAATTTTCCATACATAGAACTTGCCTTGTACAGAACTTCCTATCCGAATTTTCCTTCTACGGTAAATTCTTCAAATGGTAGGATTTGTGCATTCTTGGGCTGAATATATTTTGATCCGGCTGGGCTTGGGTAACAGGCCGGATGTTAAATACTCATATCTGGGCTGACGACAAGCTGGGCTGATGGCTTCTTGATTCGGCCTTGATGGAATGGTCTTGGGCTGTAAATACCCTCAACTTGGGCTTGAGCATGATGGGCCTTATATGTCCTTGGCCTGAAGATATGGGTAGTGGTGACGTGTGCGTTTTTTATTGGAATGAGTT